ACCGGCAGAACAACAACAATGTGCTACATGTTTCTTTTCCCCTCATTTTTTCCAATTGACGGAAATCCGTCGTAGCGACGGAAAACTTTCATTCCTGAGTAGTATTATGTACATCATACTGCACCACAGTAATATATTTCTGATAATTTCATTAAGCTAACCCGAATTTGACGGGTTGCGGGTTGCCATGAGGAACTTGTTTCTGTAGGTCTATGCAAATTATATGAAGATAGTTTGATACGTCCAAAGTCCAAACGACGTAATTTCAACGTCTTTTTCGGACGTTGAAATGACGTCCCCTGAAGAGCCAGAATCCAATATTTACGTCCACAGGACGTCTTTAAGAGGTTAAAATTTAGTTCAGATGTGGTCATTGTTGGACGTATTTTCAACGTCTTATAAAGTCAACTGCAGTCTCATTTAGACGTCATTTATACTGTTTCTGGACAAAATAAACACTCTTAGGCTGCATTCAATTCAAACTCATGTTTTTTTCAATTTAATTTTTATTTGTACAGGTAAATCAAATGACAGACTCAGTGTAGTTGTACAAAAACCATGAAAACAAAATAAAATTCACTTACTGTACAGTGGATAACAATTAACAAATAATTTAAGTTTAGTTGGGTCCATACATTATGTTCACCTGTTGGAGCAGCAAACTCACCAGACCTGAACCCCATAGAGAATCTATGGGGTATTGTCAAGAGGAAAATGAGAAACAAGAGACCAAAAAATGCAGATGAGCTGAAGGCCACTGTAAAAAGAAACCTGGGCTTCCATACCACCTCAGCAGTGCCACAAACTGATCACCTCCATGCCACGCCGAATTGAGGCAGTAATTAAAGCAAAAGGAGCCCCTACCAAGTATTGAGTACATGTACAGTAAATGAACATACTTTCCAGAAGGCCAACAATTCACTAAAAATGTTTTTTTTTATTGGTCTTATGAAGTATTCTAATTTGTTGAGATAGTGAATTGGTGGGTTTTTGTTAAATGTGAGCCAAAATCATCACAATTAAAAGAACCAAAGACTTAAACTACTTCAGTCTGTGTCCACTGAATTTATGTAATACACAAGTTTCACAATTTGAGTTGAATTACTGAAATAAACGAACTTTTCCACGACATTCTAATTTATTGAGATGCACCTGTATATCTTCCACTGATGAAGGTTGGTCAAATGTCTTTCACCATATGATTAAGAATTTTAGTCAAGAGTTCACCAAACTTAAAAGACAAAACTTCTTTCACATCTAACATTTGCATATGGATGGAAGTGAAAGGAACATTAAGTCTGCACCTGTCAAAAGCCATTTTCACTCTTTGCAAATGTATTCTTATGCACTCTAAAGATCTTTACTCCTGAGAATGATTTTCAAGAAATGCCAAGTTTGTCATTCTTAATGACATAAAAACAATAAAAACCTTTTGCAGAGGCTTAAACTACACATGACCAATTGCACTTTTAAAACGAAATCCAGGTTGAGCTATAATGCACATTATATTGTTAAATGAAGTAGGGTCACTTAGTCGTTCAATTTATTAAGAAATATTTTATAACACAACATTTTGGCTTCACACATTTCCTGTTTCTACGGCCACCCGGATTCTGTGGAATTTATGTATGTGTGATTTTAATATTTATCCTAAATTTAAACAAAATATAAGTGTGAACTGAATTAATGAATCATGATTTCTGCCTGAAAATGTTTGCCCACTCTCTTTAA